TAAACTAGTTCTAGAGATGGAAAACAAAGCAAGAGCTACTCTCTCCATAGTCCTGTTAGTACTGTTGTGTGTTGCGGTTTCGTTCACTCCAGGAGTAGCTCATGAGCAACCACCTCGATCAATGTTTCCCCCGAATTCTCCTATCGACCTAGAGAAATGTTGGTCATCTCTCTTTAACGTCCATGGATGCGTATTCGAGCTCTACAAATCAGTTTTTACAGGCAAATTTGGAAATGTTGGTGTCGCGTGTTGCAAGGCATACTCGACCATCGATGCTAACTGTTGGCCTCATATGTTCCCGTTGAATCCGTTTTTCCCACCTCTTCTTAAGGATAACTGCGCACACATCGTTCCCAATTTGCCCGCACACAAGTGAAATCGAGAATGAAGTGGACCATTGTTTAGCTTAGAAATCCATAAAAATAATTCTATTTCATGTTCGAAGTACGTATTATGAATGTTTTATTCAATATAATGAACTTTTTTTCAATAGAATCCATTGAGATTGCGCTTTTTTTTTTTTACAACTAGACTGGGCTAATTCATTAACTCTATATTTCCTTAAGTAATCTCATGTTTATAGAATAGAATCGTAATCTTCGAAATGTTGAGTACTGCACGAAATATCTATTTATTTATCTTGAAAATGTTGTCTTGTGTTGCTCTCTTGAAGCCAAAGATCACATATATGTCACTACCTGACATTTGAATTGAGGGAAAATTTCTTGGGGGCGTAACTTAAATGTCATGTATTTTCTTATGGTCCGGACTTATTGTTCTAGAGACAAACACCATGCTTAACTTTAAAACCTAACGTTTTTTAAAATTAATTTAGAAAGCCTTTTAAATTAAAAAATACATCTTGTTAGGAAAATGAGTTTAATCTNAAACTCAAAGTATACCGAACAAGACCAACCAAAATAAATTTANCTCAATTTCTACAATTCTTTAACCAATCAACCAAAACAAAACCAAGTTGAAATCTGGATTAATTAACCCATTCTCAAGTGAGTAGAACCTGAAATTATTAAACTAATGCTGTTTAGCGTAAACTAATTAGTTAGTGAGCCAACTGCAACCATTTTACTTTTGATTTGGCTCTCCATTGACTATATTAGACGTAAGATTTTTTCATTAATCGCAGTTGTTATTGTATCTACCATAACAACCTGGACTGGTTTATTACTTTAACTGGATTTGGAACCAGNTCAATAAACCGGAAAAAAACATCAAGTGGGTCAAAAGAGGCAATTATAACTTTCACATATATAATTAC